CGCGAGATTCACATGCTGCTCGAGCGTGCAGTGGCACAACAGCCATAGAGCTTGTTGTCTCGGCGACGCGAGCCCAACGCCAGCTAGCGCACGCCCTTCGAGCGCCCCGGTAGGGACGCATCGGTCCACCAGGCGCCATAGGGCGGCAGGTAGCGTGCCACGATCCTGGTCCATCAGCGTCTCGGCCGCAACCGCGACGCACGCAACACTCTCGACGCACGAAGGCGTACTCACAACGACCCGGGAGAGGGAGCTAGCCGCGGCTATCACCCTCGCCGTGGCGGACGCTACGACAGCAGCGAGGACCAAAGCCCGAGCCCCGGCCTGCCGGGGCCTTAGGCCTCGGCCGACACATCCTCAACGCTGCCTTCCTGCTAAGGTACCGGCCACCAACCAACATCCTGAAGTACTCTGGGGAGACAAACCCCGGACTATGGCTTGAGGATTATTGGCTTGCCTGCCAAGCTAGTGGTGCGGATAATGACGATTTTATTATCCGCAACCTTCCACTGTTCTTAGCCGATTCGACACGAACATGGTTGGAACATCAGCCGTCCAACAAAATCTAGGGTTGGGCGGACCTGAAGGAGATCTTCGTGGGAAACTTCCAGGGCACATACAAGCGCCCTGGGAACCCATGGGACCTCAAGAACTACCGACAGAAGGCCGGAGAAACCCTCCATGGGTACATCCGACGCTTTTCCCGGCAGTGCAACAAGTTGCCTAACGTCGCCGACGCTGACGTTATAGGGGCTTTCCTATCCGGGGCCACCTGCGAGTCTCTGGTTCATAAGCTAGGATGCAAGGGTTCGTGAACCACCAAGGAACTCCTTGACATCACCACCAGCCATGCCTCGGGCGAAGGAGTGGTCGGAGCGATCTTTGATCGCCTCAAAATCAAGGCGAGGCGGGATGAGGACGCTGGCGAAGGCGCCTCCAACCGTTTCGCCAAAAAGAAGAACAAGAAGCAACAGCGCGAGAGCTCTCTCATGGCTGCCGCTGACCGCAGGGGTGGTCGGAAGCCCACGGAGGGCACTCCGAACCACTTCGAAAAACTACTCGAGGGGCCATGCCCAAACCATGCCTTCCCCGTCAAGCATCTGTACAAGGACTGCGCCCTCATGAAGCGGTTCTTGTCCGGAGGCTCCAACAAGGGGGAGCATGGGAAGGACCCCGACCCTACCATGGACGACGCCGAGGAGAAAGACGGAGGCTTTCCAACACCGGATGGCTGCCTCATGATCTTTGGAGGATCCGAGGCCAACGACTCCAAGCACCGCCAGAAGATCGCGCGTCGCGAGGTCTATGCGATCGAACTGGCCACACCTGCGTTCCTCCGGTGGTCAGAGTCCTCTATAACCTTTGATCGGATCGACCACCCAGAGAGCGTCCCGCAGCCAGGGAGATACCCGCTCGTGGTCGACCCAATCGTCAGCACGAAGCGGCTCACCAAGGTACTGATGGATGGAGGCAGCGGCCTCAACATCATGTACGCCGAGACGCTCGATGCTATGGGCATTGACTGAGCACGCATATGGCCAACCGGAGCACCCTTTCATGGCATCGTGCCTGGAAAGCAGGCCATGCCGCTCGGGCAGATCGATCTGCCCGTCACCTTCGGGGGTCCATCCAACTACAGGACGGAGACCCTCGCCTTCGAGGTGGTTGGTTTCCACGGAACTTACCACGCCATCCTGGGACGACCATGCTACGCAAAGTTCATGGCCATCCCCAACTACACCTACCTCAAGCTGAAGATGCCGGGCCCAAGCGGGATCATCACCGTCGGCACCTCCTTTCAGCGTGCCTACGAGTGCGAAGTCGAGTGCTGCGATCACACCGCAGCGATCGTAGCCTCCGGAGAGCTCGCGGACATCAGAAAAGAGGTCACCGAAGGGGCACCCGACTCCAAAAGGTCGACCGGGTCCTTCGAGCCAGCGGAAGGCTCTAAGGAGGTCCTTATAGACCCTGGGACCACCGAGGGAAAAACGGTGCGCATTGGTACCACGCTTTCCTCCAAATAGGAAAGCGCGCTCGTCAGTTTCCTCCGCGCCAACAGAGACATCTTTACGTGGAAACCCTCGGACATACCAGTCATTCCAAGGGAAGTCGCCGAGCACGCCTTGAAAATCCGCCTAGGCTCCAAGCCAGTGAAACAACGCATGCGTCACTTCGACGAGGGGAAACGCAGGACCATCGGAGAGGAGATCGCAAAGCTTTTGGCGGCCGGATTCATCAAGGAAGTGTACCACCCGGAATGGTTAGCCAATCCCGTTCTTGTACGAAAGAAAAGTGGGAAATGGAGGATGTGTGTTGACTACACGGGTCTCAACAAAACGTGCCCAAAGGATCCATTTCCTTTGCCGCGCATAGACCAAATAGTCGACTCCACCTCGGGGTGCGAAACCCTCTGCTTCCTTGATGCGTACTCCAGGTACCATCAAATCGCGATGAAAGAGTCCGACCAGCTCGCGACATCTTTCATCACCCCCTTCGGATCGTTCTGCTACGTCACAATGCCGTTCGGTCTAAAGAAGCTGGGGCCACATACTAGCGGTGTATGCTCAAATGTTTCGGGGACCTCATCGGGCGGACTGTTGAGGCCTATGTTGACGACATCGTGGTCAAGTTCAAACGGTCTGACCACCTCGTAGCCGATCTTGAGCAGACCTTTGCAAAACTTCGAGCAAACGGCATCAAACTCAATCCCGAGAAGTGCATTTTCGGGGTCCCGAGGGGCATGCTGCTGGGTTTCGTCGTCTCCGAGTGTGGCATCGAAGCCAACCCGGAGAAGATCTCAGCCATCACTAGGATGGGCCAAATTCAAAACGTAAAGAGAGTACAACGAGTTATAGGGTGCCGCGCCGCGCTCAGCCGCTTCATCTCGCGCCTCGGTGAACGAGGTCTCCTCCTTTATTGACTTCTGAAGAAGGCCGACCGCTTCGAATGGACATTCGAGGCTCAGGAGGCACTTCACATGGTCAAACTGCTTCTAACGAAAGCCCCGATCCTGGTTCCTCCTACCGAAGGATACGGATCGGAGACGCCAAGACAGAGCAACCAGCCGTCTACGACCACGACCACCTGGCCGTCCTGCGCGGCCGCGCTCGCGGCCCGCCTGGCCGGCGACCGGCCGACGGCTGTCCATGTCTGCCGCTTGTGACGTCCAGATTTAAGATTTGTCTTCTTTTTTTATATCAAAAAAACTTGTGTATTAAATTTATTTATTTATAAGTGATTTGTTCTTGCTTTCAGTTCTGCAGCTTGTGAGTTCGTCCAACAGACTTAGTGGATGAAGATGATATAATCGATACATCCATGTCACTCAGGAAGCGGCAGATAACAGTCAGACAAGTAGGTTATATTTTAAACTATTTGTATTTTATATTAATATAATTGTATCATATTTTTTCGTCGTTAATGCATGTAGTTTTACCGAATTTAAATATGGTTTTACCGAATTTGAAGTGCTTTTACCTAATTACGTAAGGAAATTTTTAATATGGTTTTACCAAATTTGAAGTGCTTTTACCGAATTACCTGAGAGAATTTTGTGCGGTATACCTATGATAAAATTCTAGGTCTCCCAATGTGCCAAAGTTTCATAGATATTGTTCTCCGACCTGACAAGGCACGTGCACTTCTGACTTGTGGGTAGGTATCGATGCAAATACAAAAACTGCTCAAAAATAAATATATTTGGAGTTGAGACAAATATATGCGCGTCCTTTACGGCGTGCGCATGTTGCCGACGAGTAAAAAACAAAGAAGACACAGAGAGGTTAGTCTACGTACGGGACTGGATCAATTGCTTGACTGGCGTGTAACTGCATGGGTACATGTTGCCAGCCACGTGAATACACCTTGCAACTGCCACTTGTACTGTACCAAGCATGAAGAATAATATACATCAATACAAGACCTGCTTGTCATCATCGAACCCAGCCAAAAAAAATCGACGGGCCGGTCTTTAACATTAACAACTAATGTCATCAGTGTGTTGTGGACAATATAATATAAAACAGCAATTTACTATTGATTTTGGCAAAAATTTATCAAGGTTGACGGACCCGATAAAGTGGCCTAGCTCTCAGCCCGTGGAGCTCATCACATGGCCGCCACCAAGCCGAGGGCGGCTAGCTAGGATGCTCTTCAGCCTCCAGCTCCCTAGACCAACTCCAGTTTTCTCCTCACCGACAGCAGTTGCAAGGGCTTAGACGTAGAGCCAGTTACTGGCGTGGCTAAAAGTTACTATCTCTATCTAAAAAAGAATGTAACTATCGGTTACATGCCATGTAAAGTGGTTCACGTTTGATCAAATTTCTAGTGAATAATATTCATATTTATAGTTCTAAATTAATATATTATTAAATACATTTAGTAAGTAATCTAATCATATTTATTGATATCATAAATATTGAGATTTTTTTTCTATAATTGATTAAACTTAAGGTCTAAAACATGACACTATGCTAGAATTGCATTCTCTGGGACGGTGGAGTAGTTTAGACTAGTTAGCTAGCTAGTTGATACAAACGATTAGTTAAATGTGTAGCTAAAAATTATCCTATCTATTAATCTCTGTTTGAATGGACTAGAACTAATTTTGACTAATTTTTAGCTATCACACAGTAGTTCCCATCACTGAACTGCCAGAGCAGCAGGCCAACGGTTCCAGCGCCTACAACCATGTCTTCTTATAAAGTACACTGGAAACGATGACTACTACCTAGTGAAAGCGAGCCCCAAGACACGATGGTGTGGCTGCAAAGATCCACACTTTACGGTAAAGCCACATGCGCGCACATGATCATACATCAGATCCTTGCAGTGCTAGTCATTTAGGAGGTTATTAGGGAACACACGACCCGCCGGTGGAGAGACAAGCTAGCCAAGCCCTGGTGCTTTTTACCATACAGATGAGCTCTAATCCACAACAACTGACCTACACAGCAAAGCAAGCAAAACCCTAGAGTGATTGAACTTGAGAGCCCACCATCATGTCTGTGGTCTTGGGGGCGATCGCCAGCCTCGCCCCCAAGTTGCTCCAGCTCCTCAAATCTGAATACGATCTGCAGAAGAACCTGAAGAAGAGAGTGGAGTCGGTCCATGATCAGCTGGAGAACATCCAGGCCGCCCTCCACAAGTTGTCGGCAGTGCCATGGGATGAGCTCGACGAGCAACTCAAGATATGGGCACGCCAGATTAGGAATGCGTCTTATGACATGGAGGATGTCCTCGACACTTTCCTCCTGCGTGTTGAGGGCGGCGAGCCTGTAAACCGTAGCAAGCTTAACCGTGCAATGAAGAAGATGGGTGGCCTGTTTGGCCAGTTGAAGGCTCGTCGCGACATCACTGAGGCCATTGATGACATCGAGCAGAAGCTTCAGAAGGCAGCCGACTGGCATACCAGGTACAAAGTTGATGATATTGTGGCCAATTATTCTGCACGTGCAGAAGATCCTCGCCTTTTGGATTTCTACAGAAAAGCTTCACGGCTCGTTGGCATCGATGAGCCAAGGGATGAACTCATTGAGATGCTGTCCATACGGAAGGATGATGCTGATGCGTCCAACAATGAAGTGAAAATCATCTCTATTGTTGGGATTGGAGGATTGGGCAAGACAACTCTTGCCAAGGCAGTATATGACAAGGTTTATCATCAATTTGATTGTGGTGCTCGTGTTCCAGTGGGTTGTCATGCTGACCCAAGGAAAGTCTTGAGGGACATTATCATTGATCTTGTTAATGATGCCAAGAAAAGTAAAAATACCATTGGTCCTGATGATCAGATGACTGCCATGGTTGATGATAATATGTACACTGGCAGTGATTTGTTGGTATTGAATAGATTGCAGCTCATTAAGCAACTCCAAAGATTCCTTGAAGGAAAAAAGGTACATATATATATTACTACCCTAATAATTCAGCAAACATAATCTTGTGCACTATCATATTTATCAGTGTTTTTAGCTAGTATGCCGCTTGATAATGCCAATTTAAGACTGTTATTGAAATACACATGCATCCTTCGACCGTGTCTTTATACCTCTATATGATTACTATATGATACCCTGGTACTAAATAGTTAGTACTCACCACCCCATGAGCTAGGCTCCCAGGCCACCCGGCGTATGTTACTATCTTATTGGTTCATGGATATCTTGCACTATCACGAGCATATGTGCTTCATATATAGTTGTGCAAAGATACACAGGAATCAACAAGTTGGCACGTTCCTATCGATGATTTTAGTGGAGTGCATGGTTAATAAACCTTAACGAACCTGTCGATGATTTCACAATATTTATTTTTTCAGGTTAATTAATTAATGATTTTAAAATTCTAAAAAATCAATAACTCAGTTTTATTTGAGCTATTTCCTCCTAGTAAGTAAAAGGTATAGCATTGTATATAGATAAATACTCCATAGATAATAATGAATATAAAATGTTCGATTGATGTAGCCCCTTAGTTAACCTTATTATTAGTTGTATTTGATATTAAATATTTGGATTAATCTGGACTATCGGATTACCATAACAATCAACGATATATATCTTTCTCTTTTGGATTATAATTGCTGTATTTGGTATTAATCTAGACCGTTGGATGATTGTAACAACCATTGATTTTTTACACACTATAATTGTTTTTAGAATTATTATGTGGAGCAATGCATGTGGGGCCCTATGAAAATAATCATATATAAGGAGCTATTACTATACCTTACAGGAGGCAATAGCTAGCTAGGTGCCTTTAACCCTTGCAATAAATTATGATGAACACCATATAGTGAGTTTGCTTTTACTGATTCGTGGCTCTTCCACTTCCATGTACAGGTACTTCATTGTTGTTGACGATATATGGGACATAGAAACATGGGAAAGTATTAAAGACATTTTTGTGGACAGTAATCCCAGAAGCCGAATAATTGCAACTACTAGAAAGTCTAATGTTTCTGAAAAATTTGGCAAAGTTTATAGAATGAAAAAGCTTACTGATATCCAATCAGAAATACTATTATACACAAGGACATTTGATGGCGTGGAAGAAAACAGCTGGCCAGATAAAGATGAATTGGCTGTGGTATCTCAAAAAATACTGCATAGATGTGATGGTGTACCACTAGCTATTGTTACAATAGGAAGTTTGTTGGTTGGGAAACCAATAAAGGAGTGGTCCAATGTGTACGACTCAGTTGGTTTTAGCGATGGAGATGACACACAAGTTAACAATATGAAGAAGATATTATCTTTTGGCTACTACGATCTACCTTGTCATCTAAGGACATGCATGTTGTATCTAGGTATGTTTCCAGAAGATTATACTGTGAGCAGAGATAAGTTAATACTTATGTGGATAGCTGAAGGTCTAGTCAAGCAGACAAAAAAAGAAAAAGATCTTGTTAATGTAGGAGACAGCTACTTCATTGAGCTCATAAATAGAGGCATGATCCAACCAGTGGAGAAATTTGGCTTTGTAACTGGTTGTCGTGTCCATGACATGGTACTTCATATGATTCGTGATTTGTCAAGGGAGGAGCTTTTTTTGGTTGTGCAGGAGCAGGATAGTAGTAAGGAAGAGTCACAACCAAGTGGTATTCGTCGGCTAGCCTTGCACAAGGCAAAACCCATTCAAGTTAATGATAAGGACATGCAAAAAGTGAGGTATTTTAATGCCATGTATTGCGGTACAGACATGATTCCCCCTGTTGTTGGATTTAAATTGTTGCGTGTGTTGTCTCTAGTAAGTTGTCCTCTGAAAGGTCATCTTGATACAAGGTATCTGGGGAAGCTACTTCATCTGAGGTACCTTAGTCTACAATCTACACCTGTCCGTGAGCTCCCTAAAGACATAGGCCGTCTTAAGTTCCTGCAGACACTCATATTGACTGGAACTGAAATAGAAGAACTACCAACGAGTCTCGGGCAGCTTACAGAATTGATGTGCCTATGTGCTGATGACAAGACGAGAGGGCCGGATTGGATCGGCAAGCTGACGTCCTTGGTACATCTGCAGATGTTCTTTGCTGCTGACGATAAGTGTTTTGTCAAGGAGTTGGGCAACCTAAGAAACCTAAGGACTCTCCACACAAGAATAACTCTGCAGGACGAAGAACAGGTGCGGGAATTTCTACTGGCTCTGAGTAATCTGAAAAAAATGGAAGACATAAATGTCAGAGGTCGAAACAATTTGCTCGCAAAGATGCTATCATGCAACCAAGTCTTTTCGTCCTATGTTGCAATAATCTCCGTTCACTGATCTTAGATCCGTTGAAATTTAACAGGCTGCCCGAGTGGATTAACCCTCAAGCTCTTCCCAAGCTCTGCATTTTGAGCCTGCACTTTTCTGCATTGTATCAGCAGGATATGGAAATCATTGGGAAGTTCAAGCAGCTCTGTGTACTCTGGATAAACAACTCCGGTTTCTCGATAAAATTTAGTATTTCTGGTGGTGGAAGATTCCAGAATTTGAAATGTATACAGTGTCACGGATTATACCAGGTACAATTTGTACAGGGAGCTATGCCAGTGCTTGAAGTCTTTGTATTGCGCATCCCTGTGTGTGTCATAAAGGAAGACGACTTCGGTCTCGACTTTGGACTCAGAAACCTCCCTGCACTCCAGAAAGTCACTGCTCAAATCAACTGTTCCTATTGCCTCCCTACGGAGGTGGTGGAAGTGGAGGCTAAGTTGACGCACACATTCAACAGCCTCCCCAGCCGTCCCACCTTTAAAATCCATAGAGTCTGTGAAGATCGAATGGTGAAATCATCAGATTCAGAGATCGAAGGACAAAAAAAGAAGGTACTGTTGCACTGCGTACTTACATGCAGTTTAAAATTATGACATTCTTTGGTTTTTAGCATTACGGTATATATACACCTACTCATGCAGTCTAAAATTATCAACAGGTGGAACGACAAGAATGGAGGGTACGCAATTCTAGCAAGATCTGCTCTCTAGGGTTTTAATTTGTTATTATAAATACATAGTTGTAGCGTGGCTTTTAATTAATGGTCAATCTGTGCCTATATACCGGCTAAAATTTAACAACAGGCCCGAAGACTCGTGGAACAAATTAATCATCAGAAGGAACTTTATAACGCAATGGAACTGTGAGGTAGCCGAGATGGGCAAGCTGATAACCAACTTGAATCTCAGTGATGATATAAGGAATAAGGTACATCTCGTCACGCATGAATAACTAATTCATTCCATGATAACCAACATGAAGGTCGGCATGTCCATGTTGGTCCCTTTTATTAATAATGCTACCTTGCTTTAATTCTCAGTCGTACGTACCCCTAAAGTACTGCTTCCTCCATTATTTTCTGATGGCGTTTTAGGCTAGTCCTAATGGGGAGCAGCATAGCATTAGAGTTGTGGAGAGAATGAGGGAAGATGCGACTTTCATCAAGATTGTGGGTCGAGAACATTGCATTGCATCCCATTGCATCTAGTCCCGTACATTGCAATTATATTGAATGTTATGTCCAATTTATGAAACCACAAAATTTCTCAATGCATTGTAGGTGGTGTTTTTCATTCATCAACTCAAAACACTAAAAATAATGTGCCACGGTTAGTAATAAACAAAATCAAATTTGTTACTGGTGTTGGCCTGAGGTAGTTAATTTTGTTCTGTACTAAATGATGTTTTGTTTCCTATTCACATAATAGCATTTCTCTAATAAATTAGTATGGTAGATACAAGCATGTCCACCGTGTCAGACTCCCTATGTCTTAATATATGTTATTATATATCCTAAGGACTATTTAAGGGATAATTTCGCAGGGTTCTTGCATGCTTCTCCTAAAATGTCCTCAGCTCTAGCTCTTCTGATGGAATAGCTTTTCTAGTGTAGCTAAAGCACCTTGTAAAAAATGTTTGGCAAAATGGTTTTGGAGAGTATTTTTTAGAGGAGCCAATAGAAGCTAAAATTTTAGCTTCAGCTCTTAACTCAAAAAAGGGACTTGTTAAAGTTCAGGTGCCTAAATTTTAGCTTCCTTTCAGGCGATGATCATTGCAAATATTTTATACTAAAATTACAGCTTTAGTTCGATGCAATTTATGTAGGCATACTATAATTTTCAGTTCTGAGAATGAAAAAAAAACAATTAGAAAAAAACAATAAATTCGACAAAATCTGATCCGTGTAGCCACAAAGACAATTAACAATTTATAATTGTACCTATAGTCAGACAAGAACAAAAAAAATTATATGTTATGATACAAAGACAAATAATAAATCACAAAAATAACAATTTACTTGTACCAATTGGTTATACAACAGTGTTGCCTGCAATCATCTTAAAATTCAGGCATCTGAAATATAGAGATGTGCTACAAGAAAAGGGATTATGGCTCCTTGGTGGCTTTACAAGCGAAGCCATTTTTTAGCTTTTCTAGTCATTTATTTGCTAAACCACCAAATCCTATCTAACTCATGCAAGTAGTGAGAAACCCATCACATACTCGACTTCTACTTGACTAAAACAATATAAGCATGGATTACTATCAACAAAAAAGAAATAAGCAACTCATCAAGACATGATCATGAAGCAAACAAGGAATGAAGCTACTAGTAGGTTGCATGTAGGTCATGGTCATGCATAATTAACACGCACATACATATAGCACACAGTCATGTTAATGCAATTATAAAAGAGCAATATTGCATATGTTTACTTTGTGGTTCTACTTGGTGGTCAACAAGTTTGGGTTTAGCTACAAACTCAACATCTAGCTCAACGATCATTTCCTCGATCACCTTCTCACTCCTACATAAGTGAATATTGTTGCATAAGTTAACATAATGCTCATGATTTGCATGTGCTCTATGTGGCTTTAATGGGCCATCCTTGTAAATGGTTGGACCATCCGCTTGAACAAGTTAGGACCTGTTCGGTGTAGGTTCTTCACTGTTGTGTCTTCACTGTCCATCTGTACAATAGACCGGACCGTCCACCTAACCAAGTCAGGACTTGCAAATAGGAATCTTTCTTATGCGCAATCCTCATGATGATCATGCTTAACAAGGTGCTGCAAGCTAGGTCATTATAGCTTGTTATTCTCTTTGATGATTCAAGTTGTCCAAATTAATGGCTAGAAGTTTGTGAGTATATTTTAAGATCTATTTGTTTTCCTAACATATTCTTGTGAGGATTAATGTAGAGGCTCCATGAAGGCTTCCAGTTAGTAGTATTAAGAAATGTGATGCTAGGTTTTAGCATTGCACCCCTACGGCTATTCAATATGTGCTTAGTTGAAACTAAGTTTAAATTATATCCGATCTTGTTATATCCATTCTTGTGACCTCTCAAATTTATCTTTTGCCTTTTAACATTAACCTTCTTAGTTGTTGTATCATTTTTATCCATGTATTGAGTTGAAACTCTAGTATCTATCATATAATTTATTCAAAATTTTCCTTTCATATGTTCTTAAAATTATATTCTAGTTCCTAAAGTATAGTCTTAGTTACTACAGTTGGACAAACAATGCTTTCAGCCTTCACCATGCCACACAAGAATATATTATAGTAGTATTATCTCTTAAAAAACAATAGTGAATTAAATAAGTTAAATTATCAGTATTGGTGTGTTGTATTTTTAGTCAAAATATGTATAGTTATTTAGTAGCAACTTACATAATTTATTGTCACGTGTATGAGTACAATTTAAAGTGAATTGTCAGTGTCATAGGTACCAGATTTGTTAAGGAAACAATTTTGCTCGCTTGGTATATTTTCGCTGATGTATGCACGTTTACGTAGTCTACATGGTGTCACATAACTTGTAATTTAACTGTGTATAAGTTAGAAATATATATAGCATGATTTATATTGAGTTACTTTTGTAATTATTTTATATTTTATTTAGAGATAAACCAGTGGGATATATTAATTTGTTTCTTATAACTGTAATTTGAGAAATTGAGGTATAAATTAAAGCGGGTTATGTTACATTATCTCTCATAATGGTTGATGTGGGTAATTTGGATGTAAATTTTACGGGGTCATTTTAAATTATCTTTCATAATGACGGAGGTAGAAATTTTAAATACAAATTTAAGATCTCACTTTCAATTATCCTTTTATAATAAAAAAAGTGGATAATTTAGATATAAATTTAGAGTTTTCTTGTGTATTTATATAAATGCTTAGGTGGGTAATTTCTTAGAAAATTAAATAGATCTAATTATTATCATTAGAGTCTATCGAATTAAAGAGTAGATATTTCTAACTATTGTGAGATTTTCTAGAATTTATCTTTTTTAGCATATCTTGTGAGGATAAAAGAGTCTCCATTGAAGGTCTTTAATTAGTAACATTAAGATTTTCATAAAACAACAAAACATCTTGAAGCCAGTCATATGGTCAAATTAATCTGTTATTAATAGACCCAAACAATTGTGTTTGATAGAAGATTCTAGTTTTGAGTTACGTCATCCAAAAATAGACCTGGACAGTAGTTTGATATGGAAAAATGGTCTTCTCTCAAATATTTGGGACCAATATTTTGTCAAATGGAAGGATGTTTTTTTCCAAGAATATCTGAATATGTCACGCTAGATAGCAGTCCCGCCAAAGAAACAAACTCCACTTGTGTATCACACAAATCACAGGATAGCTTAAAGACATATTTCAATATTCACACAGACGGGAAAAGACGCATGTCAACAGATCCAGTGCTGTTGGAAGTTTGTATAAACTATTTAAGCATTTAAAGACATTAAATGAAAACCTTAAAACTAAAATGTTGTAGAACTTGCACAGAGACATATTTTTCACATAAATTTACTCTCTGTCCAACTCTGTACAAAAAAATTATGATTATGACAAGCCCTTGTGCCTAATATGTCGCTTTTTAAGTTTAACGACTTCAAATGGAAAAAAAATCAAAATTACAAAGTTAAAGATCTTCTCAATAGCTAAAATTTTCATATAAAAGTTATTCTGTCCGAATCATATATTTTTAGATAAGGGAATCAATCTGGCTTCGCCCTTGTAACCAAGAGAATCAGACGAACTATTACAAAAGTTGAGCAACACATCTAACCAAGCTCACTCAAATAACAAATCAGGCATTATATGGTCATCCAAAAGAAGGAAAGAACCGCATAGTCGCCGTTTCTAGCATCCGACAAACTTGGGACAAGCAATCCTTGGTTTCATCACACTTTGCAACTGTCCAATGTTTTAGCCAGTGTGTTCCTTTAAATAAAACCTGCAAAAAAAAAAGATTTAGGTTACCAATTATTAAAAAACATATAATTTCTTACTAGCCATGACTTCCAACAAAATGGCTGCACCTTGATCTACCCCTTTGTTTGTGCCAATCATGAAAGATATACCATTACATTTAAAGGGGACTTGAGACCCTAAACAAGATGAATCTCTCGCCACAGGAACTTACCATATAAACATTCAAAAAGAGGTGTTGAATAGTTTCATCTCTACTACAAAACATGCAATTCCATTCCAGTTCCTCTTTAATAAATTATCTTTAGCTAAAATCACCCTCTCTTAATGAACCACGGAAGAAATTTAATTTTCAATGGTATCTTTAAAGGTCATATATCTTGTGGGACTTTAATGCCCGTATTGACAAGGTGTTTATACATGGAATTTACTTGGAACTCGCCACTATTTTTAAGTGGCCAAAAACCCCTATCTCGTCCAACTTCTAAGTTAATGCTCGTGACTCTTGCTACTAAGTTATTCCACTCAACCAGCTTAATTCCCACTAAAGCCTTTCTAAAGGAAATATTTAGAGGAATTGCCCTTGAATATTTTGTTACAGTAGCATTTTTGTTGAACTATATATTATATACAAGTTTGGATAGTGTACTTTGAGAGGATGTGCACCGAGTCAGCTATATTTCTAGAAGCTTATTTCAGAACCATCTCCTAGTTTGTATTCTGTGTCCAACTCAGTATGAACAAAATATGATTATAACTAGACCTTGTTCTTAATATGTCACTGATAGTTTGTATCACGTTTTGTAAGTTTTAATAACTTCAAATGAAAAAACTCAAATCACGAAGTTTATAGATGTCGGCCCCCTAATTTAGGGTCCTTTGTGCATCGTGTATCAGTCCCTGGATCAGTAGCTGATACATACACACAATTCGAACAAAATTGATATAAAAAACCATATTTTTACTGCTAATAGGGAAAACACATTACATGATTCGTTTTACATAGCTTGGGTCATTGTCCTTATATCATATATCAGAGTTCTAAGACAACAGTCCTATGTCGTCATGGCTCTATTCCTACAAGCAACTTAGAGTGCGGACGTAACCCTAGACTTATTCCTTAAGCGCATTCCTATGTCCCAATCCTCATAGTCCTAGCGTAGCTCCCTTGTGTAGTTGTACGACTCCGTCATCCTATCCTTGTGCGGTCCTCGATAGCTTCATCCTCGTATGTTCTCCTGTAGCTTCTCTCCTAA